AGGGGAGTCATAGCCAGGCTGTGCATGTGTGGAGAAAGGAAAGATGGCTGGGCTAATTCAGTAGTTCTCAATAGCAGCAGGTATCAGTGGGGTGGGTTTTGACCCCACAGGATATTTGGCAATGTCTGGCGACATTTTTGGTTGTCACAACTAGGGGGATGATACTGGTATCTGGTGGGTAGAGGCTGGTGATATTGCTAAACATCCTACAATTCAAGGACAACCCTCACAACAAAGAACTATCTAGGCTAAAATGGCAGTTGTGCCTAGGTTGGCAATGCCAGTGCTAAATGAAGAGGACTAGTCTTCAAGGTACTGGAAAACTTGTGGGTGCATCTAGACATGTATCCCAGGATTCACTGAAGGTACACTATGACTCCTCCAAAGATATCCCCACAGGAGTCTCTATTTGATGTGGAGGGTACTCCACATACTGCACAGGCTGTGTGTGGACTAACTCTTCTCTTCCTCTTTCTAAGCTATTCTTTATCACATGCTTCGTTTTACATATTTATTTCTAAATTGTCTTATTACTCTCAAAAGCAAAACATCGGGGTGCCTGGGTGGCTCAGTCATTAAGCATCTGCCTTTGGCTCAGGTCATGATCCCAGGGTCCTGGGATCGAGCCCTGCATCAGGCCCCCTGCTCTGCAAGAAGCCTGCTTCTCCCTCTCCTGCTCCCTCTGCTTGTGTTCCCTCTCTGGCTGTTTCTCTCTCTCTGTCAAATAAATAAAAATAAAATCTTTAAAAAAACAAACAAAAAAACCCCCAAACAAACAAACAAAGGCAAAACATCTTCATTTTTAAGTAAACAAATACAATGACCTGGGCAAAAAATACAGAGCTAGTGAAAGAACCTTAAAAACATTCTAGAACAATCTCCTCAATTTCCAGTTGGAAAACTGAGGCCCACAAAGGCTTGGTGATTTATTTGTGGAGGAGGAAAACATCTTATTTTTTTTTTTTTTACAAGGTAATTAAATTCCTGTAAGGACTTGGTCATCTTGTCTTATGTGACAAAGGAGTATGCTTCTTTTTGGTTACTGCCTTATTTAAAATCCTAAGTCCATCATTTTGATCACATTACATAAGCAGGGTTTGGTTTTTTTTTTGTATCTTTGTGGATTTATGTTCAAAGTGAGGAAAAATATTAAAAATTTTATGCATCCTATTTTTAGTTCCAGTGTAAGACGTTTGTTTAAAATAAGAGATTTTGCCTTGAAAAAGGTGCTTGCTTGCCTGGTCTCATGGTAAAAAAATAAACAAATAGAGAAACACATTCATTTTCATGTGCCAGTGACTTACTAAAATATAGCCCATAAATAAATAGAACAGAAGTACATTTCTTTTTTTTTAAAAAGATTTTTATATATTTGACAGAGAGAGACAGTGAGAGAGGGAACACAAGCAGGGGGAGTGGGAGAGGGAGGAGCAGGCTTCCCACTGAGCAGGGAGCCTGATGTGGGGCTCGATCCCAGGACCCTGGGATCATGACCCGAGCCGAAGGCAGACGCTTAACGACTGAGCCACCCAGGCGCCCCCAGAAGTACATTTTTAAAGTAGAAAATAAATAGAAATGTAGATCCATAGTAAGGAAAGAACAAGTTAAAGCTTGTAAGTTGCTCTATCCTTTCAAACTTCAACTCACCTTTCTCCTGGATCTTTCATAAGAATGATTGTGAGAAAGACCAATCTATTGAAAAATAAGTACTGGAAAATCCCTCATGAAATTAACAGAACAAAACCCAACTTCTGAAGGTATTTGTTGCCTCTAGTTAGTTGTTCAGTTGTTTTCTCTTCTCGTACCTTATATAATGTGGTTTACTGTTTATTTCAAGTACCCAAAATTAAAGTGGGGGAATGCATTTGCTTTAAGAGGTCACAGTTCAGGTGGGTAGATGGAGAATTCTAACATGCTTTCTAGTCATCAATAAGATGACCTGTTCTCTTAGAATATTTGTTATCCTTGAAAATTAAATGCCATTCTGCTTTGTAAAGTGAGCTAGCCCAGTCCTTTCTATTCTTAACAGGTTTTTTTTTTTTTTTTGTAGTCTATGAACTACATAGTAATAGTAATGCTTACATGGGGAGTATCCAATTACAAATTAACAAAACCAAAAGAATCTTTCATTAAACCATGTCTCTTCTCTTCTTTTTTTTTTTTTTTTTTAAAGATTCTATTTATTTATTTGAGAGAGAGAGAATGAGAGAGAGCACATGAGACGGGTTAGGGTCAGAGGGAGAAGCAGACTCCTTGCCGAGCAGGGAGCCCGATGCGGGACTCGATCCAGGGACTCCAGGATCATGACCTGAGCTGAAGGCAGTCGCTTAACCAACTAAGCCACCCAGGCAACCATGTCTCTTCTCTTCTTACCACTAGTCTTTTTATCAGCTCATGGCAAGTCTTGTATGTATTCCCTTCCTCCACTTCCTTACTACTTTCCAATCCTTCCTCAAAGAAGACTAATGTGGCTTCTCTTCCCATCACTCCGCAAACTGCTCTCACCAAGGGACCCAATGACCTCCTACCACTTCATAGGAGATTTTTTTGTACTAATTTTATCTGATACTCTCTCCTCTTTCTCCCCTTTTCTGGCACAACATTCTCCCTGTTTTTCCTTAAGAACAGAAAAACTGTTTCTCAAGTGTCCATTTTGGTCTCCTGAGCACTGAGTATCACAACATTTGGAAGTAGAAAGAGGAAAAGGACCCAGGAAAGAACCCTAGGAAGAAGCAACAGGATGAAAACCAGATGGTGAGGTCACAAAAGCCAAGTCAGACAGCACAATCCCCAGCTGCCGAAGCCTAGATGACAGTCCTTATCCCTTTACTTCAGTGAGCCATTAGGAACACTCATTCCACACTTTCAAGATGTCTCAAATACTTCCATTTTATCCATCTCTTCTACAAATAACTTTGTTATTTTTCCTCTCATTATTTCCCTTGCCTTTATTTTTATCTTATTTGTTTTAAAGATTTATTTATTTATTTGGGAAAGAAAGAGAGAGAGAGAGAGAATAAGCAGGGGGAGTTGCAGGCAGAAGGAGAGGGAGAAGCGGGGCTCGATCCCAGGACCCTGGGACCATGACCTGAGCTGAAGGCAGATGTTTAACTGACTGAGCCACCCAGGCGCCCCTCCCATGCCTTTAAAATGAGGCTTTCTGCTTCTAGTATTTCCTCCTCTAATACTTTCTTCCTGTTGTAACATAAGTAATTTTTAAAGCACAAATTTGGTCACTTGCTTAAACTGTTATCCTAAGGATGCTGGGGAACCAGTGAAGCATCCAAAATCCTATACATGACATAAAAGACCTTTCATCATTTGGCCTTACTTCTACAGAGGAATGCATCTTGCCTTTTATATGTGATTCCACATCTCAGGGCTTTCTCTTCTGGGCCTTTTCGATCCTCTGCTGCATCATTTTCTCTTCCCACATCACATCTAACTGCTACTCATCCTTTAAGTTTCATAGTAGATACCAAACTTCCCCCTCCACCTACAAGCCAGGCTAAATGTCCCTTCTTGTATTCCCATAGCACTCTGGACGTATCGTTCCCATACTCTAACCAAACTGTATTATACTTACTTGCATGTTTTGTATCCAAAGAGTATCTGGGTTTCATTTGTCTTTCTGTCTCCAGAGCCTAAAATAGTCTCTCAAGTGTAACAGGCACATAGCACAGTGATAATCCATGATATCAGGTAGGTAGAGGAGTCAGTGATTATCAACACCTGGTTGATTAGAGCCAGATGAAACTATTTCTACTACTGCACCAATAAGAAATTCACATGGACATCAAAGTAGCTTCCAAAATCCTTAACTAGTCAATGGCAATAGGGGCAGTGCAGACAGGTTTAAAATGGGCAAAACGGGTCTGTTTACAGTGTCCTTAGAACAGAGTTTTAAGGAAGAGAGGGACATAAAATATGATCTTTAGAGAGATCGATCTAACAAGAGGAGAGCAGCTTAGGTGACTACATTTGGAATACCGTTCTACTGTACATTGTCTTGATTACCTAGGAAAACCCACATGGTCCTCCCTAAGAGGTAGGGAAGTCTATGCCCCACTGTACTGTGGATAGTGGATCCCTGGGAATATTCTTACATGCCCCCAGCATAAAATACAGCCTGAGATATGGGAAAAGTTCAATTAAATAAATAAATAAATAGCTAGCTAGCTTGTTTTCAAGCCAGGGTGTCTAACACTAGCCAGTCATTTTAAATATGAGCTGTTAGTACAAACAGAACGAAAAACCTAAGCCACCATTTGCAACAACATGGACAGACCTAAGAGGGTATAATGCTAAGTGAAATAAGTCATACAGAAAAAGACAAATACCATAAAATTCCACTCATATGTGGAATCTAAAGAACAAAACAAATGAATCAACAAATAAGGAAAAAGCAGAGACAGACCCATAAATAGAGAAAACAGACTAATAGTTCCCAGAGGGGAGGAGGGGTGGAGAATGGGCAAAATGGGTGAAGTAGAGAATAGGAGAAATAGGTTTCCAGGTATGGAATGAGTAAGTCATGGGGATGAAAAGTACAGCATAGGGCATATAGTCAATGGTATTGTAACAGTGTGCATGGGGACAGATGATACTACACTTGTGGTGAGCACAGCACAACTTAGAGATTTATTGAATCACTATGCTGTACAACTGAAACTAATGTAACACTCTGTGTCAACTATACTTCAATTAAAAAAAATAAAAACAAAGTAATCTAGTCCCATATGACTGAGTAGTAAACTACTATAAATTTTTGAAACGTATTCAAAGTATGTGTCCTACCAACCATGACTCAATTGTGTCAGCTTCCAATATGAAGTGTAAAACCCAGTACACTGCATTTTGCCCCATTTATACAATGGACCTTCCAAGGCAAGTTCTCATCCTTGCTGCCAAAATGTGGAGTATTATTCCAATCAAATGTTAGTAAGATTATTTTACAAAGTGCTTTTTCCCAAAGTCAAAGCACTATCAAAATGACATACCTGAGACAATTTTGTTGTAGTTGCAGGCAGAAGTGGACGACTAAACTTTTTCTGAGATCCAATGGCAGCTGGAAATGGTGGTGCAGAAAATACAGCTGCAACACAATTAATTTTGTTTATCCACCCTTGCATTTCCTCTGGACTCCTATGAGAAACAGATAAATTTACATCAGGGTATTTCTCTATCTTAAGTGCATCACACCTTGCCCATTTCTCATTACCAATTTAAAAAGGCAAATAAAATCATTTATTTATTTTTCTTGGTACAATTAATTCCTAACAAAATTTCACTGAGATTAACATTTTCAACAGCAATCACCATGGTAATAAGAGGCCCAGGAACCTATGATCATTATAGTATAAGGCTATGATTATCCTTCAAGGATACAGAAGGGGAAAAAAAGCAAAATCACTTGATAATAAATACTAAGTCCCTACTTTGATACTAGGCTCAGTCAAAAATTAATTAAAAAATTAACTCATCTCTTCCAATCACATAATTCAATTTTAAAATCCAACTGAGGGACAAATTGATAGAACTTAAAAGGAATGTAAAAAAGAGAACACCCACTAGGAAAGCAGCTTTAGTTTCTTGAAAAGTTAACTATAAATTTACCATATAACCCAGCAATTCTACTCCTAGGTATATACCCAAGAGAAATAAAAACATATAGGCACAAAAAGATGTGTATGTGAATGTTCATAGCATAAGAGTCCAAAAGGGGAAACAATCCAAATGTCTATCAACTAGTGAATGAATAAAAAAATGTGGCATACATCCATACAGTGGAATAGTACTCAGCAATAAAGGCATGAAGTGCAGATATGTTACTACATGGTGAACCCCCAAAACTTTACAGTAAGTGAAAAAAGCCAGTCATATATCGTTATATGATTCCATGTATATGAAAAGTCCAGTAAAGGCAATCCTATAGAGACAGAAAGGAGATTAGTGGTGTCTGAGGTTGGGGGTAAAACGGGGAGTGACTACAAAATGGTCATGGAGGATCTCTTTGGGGAGATAGAAGTGTTCCAAAACTGGACTGTGGTGAGGGCTGCACAATTCTGTAAATTTGCTAAAAATCATTGAATTGTACACTTAACCCAGGTGAGATTAATCATACATAAGGTATATCCCGAAAGGATGTTAAAAATCTACCTGACAGGATGTGAAAATCATCTGATGTCATTAACATACTTCTAACTTGAAATGTCATATATTTGCAGAGACCAGCACTGACAGCGCTTATCAATATTTGTGAATTCATAAATGAATGGGAGAAATAGTCATGAGCCAGGATAGTTGATCCACCATGTATATATAATCAATAAACAGAAGATGGACAAAATGTCAGCCCACATAAAATAATTTCCCCTACCGGTTACTCTGAGAAATCACACTAACCTGAGACCACACTAGAAATCAACTCCTCTTTGCACCCCAGATGCTTCTCTAATCTGATTTCTCTGGCTCTGTTAATTCACTGATTTCTGCATCAATTCTATCTGAGGTAAGTAGAGCTTCTTAGTTATCATATTTGGTGTTTTAGTAAAAAAAGTGTTGGAGAATAGAATACTTTGAAGGGCTCTGATGACTAATAGCTGTAATTAACATCTGGCTATGATTCCCTCTGTGATGTTAAAGCTATCTTACTCCCACACTAAAAAAATCCTGTGTAACTTGGATTTCCTTACAGCTTCCTCCTCACCCGATGTCAACAATTTCATACCTCCGCAAATTCAACATTCATAAACCACCAGAGTACCTGCTGTAGTTCTTATTTCTTTTTTTTTTTTGATCTTACATTGCTACGATCAACAAGCAATACTTGTGTTCACTATCTTGATGTCAAATCTTAAGACCATTGCCAACGGAAGTCAATTGGTGGTGCTGTGTTGAGAGTGATTCTGAAGTCAAGCTCAGGCTGTGGAAAGCACGCCGTGAAGAATTAATACTGCCACAGACACTGATGCTATGTGTGCACCTATAAAGATTCCTGTTCTGGAGGCTCAGTTCTGAAAATCCACAGTTTCTCACTTCACAGATCCAGAATTCTCCGTGTGAAGTGCTCCACTTCTAATCTGAAGGCTGTCGTGGACCTCTTATTAAACTGGCAGACCATCCCATTTCCTTGCCCACAATATAATTTTGTCTTTTTTTTTTTTTAAAGATTTTATTTATTTATTTGACAGAGAGAGACATAGCGAGAGCAGGAACATAAGCAGGGGGAGTGGGAGAGGGAGAAGCAGGCTTCCCGCAGAGCAGGGAGCCCGATGTGGGGCTCGATCCCAGGACCCTGGGATCATGACCTGAGCCGAAGGCAGGCAGACGCTTAACGACTGAGCCACCCAGGCGCCCTATAATTTTATCTTTTTCTTCTAGTTTTATCAAAGACTATTAGAGCTCAGAAGGAAGAGAGAAGAGAGACAGAGGGAACAAAATGGAAATCTACATTTACTGAACAGTTTCTATGTGCCAGGCACTATATGAAGTATTTTATATACTTGATCTCATTTAATTCTCACAAGAACCTTGTGAGATAAACATTATCATCTGCAGTAGTGACAAGCTAAGGTTCAGAGAGGTTAAATTACGTGTCAGGACAAAGAGCTAGGAAATGGTGATTTGAATCCATGTCTATTTTACTTATTGTGTGATAAAACTTGTACACCACAATGCTTATATTTTGTTCATAAAAATATTAAGTTCTAGAGATGGTAAGTGGCTGATTCAAAGTCACAGGGCTACTTTGTAGCAAACAAAAAACTTGAACTCAGAGTTTCTATTTATAATTCTAGTTTTCTTAAGCAGTTGTCTGATGTAATCAGTTAATGACTTTGAATCCAACTCAAATTCCCCTGAAGACTCTGATTCTATTTCTTTTTTTTTTTTTTTTTAAAGATTTTATTTATTATTTGACAGAGAGAGAATGAGAGAGAGAGAGAGCACATGAGAGGGGGAGGGTCAGAGGGAGAAGCAGACTCCCCGCTGAGCAGGGAGCCCGATGCGGGACTCGATCCCGGGACTCCAGGATCATGACCTGAGCCGAAGGCAGTCGCTTAACCGACTGAGCCACCCAGGCGCCCTCTGATTCTATTTCATGGTATAAGGTGGTGCTATGCAAACCATGAGACCAAACCAAACCAATGAAAC